CTCTCTCTCTCTCTCTCCCTTTCTCTCTCCCTCTCTCCCTCCCTCTCTCTCTCTCTCTATCAAGAATTGTAAGTTAGAATAACCAAGAGCTATCCTGGAATTTCTGATATCAGTCTTGAAAGCCTATCCAAATTTCTCTTTCTTCCACCATATAATAAACAAATCAAGGTGGGATTACATTGGGCTTCTTTCCATACACTTTCCTCTTTCTCAGAACTATTTAATCTTTTCTGCAAGTCCCCCGATAACAGCTTGTTCAACATTTTCCTTATGTCCAAGATCAATTCTGCATTTTCTCTGTCTCTTTCTGACATACCCAGAGAATTTGTGTCTCTAGACATAAATGCAACTCCTAGCATCTCCAGACCCACATGATAGTTGCAAGGGATACTGGAAACTGCAGTTCCCACATATCTGCGGGACCTCAGGTTCCCCATTGCTTATTCTCTAACAGGCAGATAGATCATTTCAAATAAATTTGTATGCATGCGTTGATGCAGGCCATTGTGTTGTTTGGTGATAGGCACAAGTGCTAGCTAATGTGAGAAAAACTCACTGTTTTGTTAAAGTAATAGAAGTGGTGAATTGGGAATGGGATGAATCTCTTGTAATTCATGTTGTACCCTTTATAGCTCTGGTTACTACTCATTAGAACAGCTGTTTCAAATAAATGCAGTAAGAAGCCCACTCACATCTGTTCTGGGTTTAATTTTTCAGCTTCTTTGCTTTACTCCTCCCACTCACCCTTCCATCAGTAGGGCAGGGACATAATTTAGTACTTCACAACATTCAGTTTTCAGCAGAAGGCAATTTAGTCTCCAAATACGTTCAGGATCACATGTGGCATTTGAAAACTATCCCATATAACAGGAAACAGATGATGGGGAAGAATTCCAAAGATGGCCAAGACTTTTGTATGCAGTGTCACATGTGGCTCCTGTCAGTCAAAGCTTCATGACCTGCATTATATGGCATGGCAGGAAAATGAGGACATGCACTAATACATGAAAAGCTAGGTGAAAAACAAGCATAGAAGTACCATGGTATCGGTTCTTAAAATATAGAATGGGCATGAACAGTAACCATTTACTTAAATAAGCAAAGCAGTGTCTCTTTGGTCCTGCTGCCTGTTTTGGTATTTACTCTAAAAGGGAACAAAGTGTGCTTAGCTATTAAGTAAATATACAGAAAAGGAAAGACCTCATAGGAAAACAAAACATTTTTGTTGTCTTTTTATTTGTTATTTTATGCAAAGTAAAAAAAATACAAAATGCATTTCGGAAGAAAACGTCTTCCACAGGGATAGTTCGAAAATGAATTCAACTTATTATACCGTTACATAAAACACAAGAAATAGCTATTTAAAATACCAGCCAAATGTTGTTTAAAGGGGATATTAACCAAATATATATATGATTTGAAGTGCAATTTTCATATACAAGCTGCACATCACATTCTAAAAGTGTTTCATGGGAATTGTTTTTGCCTGGGGTTTTTATGTAATTGTACAATATATCCAGTTCATTTTCAGATTGCCCAAGAAATTCCATCCAAACCTTGCTAGATGTATTTGCAATTAAATTGAAAACAAGGGCAAAAATAGTCTTTCTGTGAAATTTTGTCTCTTGTTCTCATCTTATATGAAGCTTCCATAATTAACCACAAAACTTCCTCATATTTAAATCTTTAGGACAATCAGGAAGTTGTAGCTTGTACACATTTTTTCCCCACCTCTATCTCAAATCAGAACTACCCAAGGAAATTCAGTTAAAGGTGGTTAGCAAGCTATTCTATTAGAACTCACATCAACTGACTGGCCACCTACAATGTCTCCATTCAGAAATCCCAGGGTGTCTTGCCCTGTAAATAGAAAGACACCTGCTTTTCCATTATGCCATAATTCTTCCTCCTTCTGTTTGCTGACAAATGAGAAGAAGGTTCACAGCCATTCTGCCAAACCAAGATTGTTTGTACCAATGAAGGGGAATAAGAGAATAAGGAGAATAAGAATAAGATTTTTGACCTGCTATGTACATAAGCATATTTCTTTGACCTTTGCCACCACCTCCTCCTTCTCCTGGGATCTTAAGAACCTTAACCTGGGGCTTCAATCTAGATAACAGAAAGCCATTTGAGTATCCCCACACCCACCCAGTGGATCTCACAAAGCAAGATCATGCAACTGATTATTTGTAACACTGTATTTATGTATTGCCCAAGTTGTCCTCAGTCATCCAAAACAGCCACTGAAACTGAGATCTAATTGTATATTATCTTTCCAAATCCTAAAGAGTAGGTGCGAGTTGTTTTAATTGTGATGAGAAAGGATGCTTGCTGATTTAAACAAGATTTTAGATTAGAATTGCAAAACATGTTTGAATGCAACGAACAAACGTGCGCAGGTCCAGAAATTAAGCAAGTGGGAATGAAGACCACACCTGGAATTCTGCAGCCAATTTTGGTCACTATATCACAAAAAAGATGTTGAGAGTTTGGGAAAAAATTCAGAGAAGAGCAACTAAGATATTAAAGGCCTGGAGACTAAAACATATGAAGAACGGCTGCAGGACTTGGGTTTGGCTAGTCTAAAGAAAAGAAGAAATAGGGGAGACATGATAGCAGTATTCCAGTATCTGGGGGCTGTCACCAAGAAGAGGGGGTCATGTTATTCACCAAAGCACCAGAGGGAAGGACAAGAAACAATAGTTGGAAACTGATCAAAGAGAGAAGCAACCTGGAATTAAGGAGAAACTTCCTGACAGTGAGGACAATTAACCAGTGGAATAACTTGCCCTCAGAAATTGTGGGCGCTCCATCACTGGAGATTTTTAAGAAGAGGCTAGACAGTCACTTGTCTGAGATGGTATAGGTCCTCCTGCTTGAACAGGGGGCTAGACTAGAAGACCTCCAAGGTCCCTTCCAGCTCTATTCTATTCTAATTCAGTGCACTGGAACTTTCACATGCCAAGCCCCTGGAGAAAGTAGCTCCAAAGAGCATTTGTTTATATAATAAATCATTTTTACCCCTTTTTAAGAAACAGCCTTCTACAACTCTTAAAAAATTCATTACTAGCTTTTTTCCCAAGTTGATGTACTCAACTTGGAAAGTAAATGTGATTTCATTCAGAGAATATTCCACAAATATTCAGTAAACAAACCATGGTAAATGAAGAAATCAACAGCAGTTTAAAGCACCTAGAGAAACCCAGGTATGATTATTTTTATGTTGCATAAATATCCAC